GAAACGTATGGGCATTCATCCAGTTGTTTGGTGACGCACATATTTATTTCTGCGACCAGATTAATGCTCCATTTTCGGCGCAAGCTTCCTACGTGCTCGTGTAAACAAAAGAACAGCAGTAGAACCTTACCGAAACAGAACTCCACGACAAAGGAGACGCGAACAAATATAAGCATCATGCGTGATATTAAGAAGAACGCACACCAAATACATGTACTAAGAGATCCGATTGAGTCGCTTGCATATGAAATATTTACTTTCACAACCATTCTTTCTTGATAGGGCAAATGATAAAATAATTTGTATCGACTCCTCGTCGCCTTTGAAACTGGATCTATCCGACCTCCATAATACAGAAGGTAGGAAAACCACTCAACCACGAAAATATATTCGACCTCGCAAGTTTAAACCCTTCAGAGTTGATTAAAAATAACTTCTGGTACGGAAAGACACTAACACTCACGTTAAGTTTCAGGCGAGGGTTTTCTCGTTGAAGTCTATGATTTAAATTCGAGATTCGCTCCCACAATTTTCAGTGAAAACGTAAAAACTCCAAAGAACCAAATAGCTTAAAAGGCGGGGTATATGTAAAATGGCTGAAAGAACGACAGCAATAAATTTTGGAAAACTCACACATCAGGCTTTTAAATTGGAAATCTAAGACGAACTTCCAATAACACTCGTGAGCAGTGTATGACATCACATAAATAGAAGCTTCCATCGTGAAATTTTTTGCAAATAAAGGATTTGGAGTATCCAAAAAATAACTATAGTTGAGCTAAAAATTTATAGGACCCCCCGGTACATCGGCGGGTCGAAGTCAACCTGGGCAGCTAAATTGTACCTAATAAACCTCATCAAGCCATGAAAAACTGACCTTTTGATACGATTTGCCACGCGAATTGAAACGTTCAGCGATACTATAAAAGCTAATACTACTAAGCTTCTCGAGGACATTCAACGCCTCAGAAAGATAATGATATCTTTATTTGCAGTGAAGTTCTTTCGCTATTGCCTGTATTAATTGTGTAGCACTAATTTTAGATATGATCTAGGATGGGTAACCTACACATCAGCTGTTAAGTCACCATACGTTAAACCACGCTCATAAACACGCATACTCCAAATTCCGTGTGTTGAAAATATTTCATTGTCAATTTTCCCACAACATCGACAAACACACACACATATCAAATTCGAAGATAACCGAGCGCGTCAGTAACACTAAGTTAATGGAAAGCACACCCCTTTCGTGTAACGAAAAGAAAAATTCAGCAGACTAAATTTGATATTAAATGTGAAGTAGAAAGAGCAATAAAAAAAAATAGAGTGGATAACAACAAACTTACGCTTGCATCGCCGACTGACTTTCGATAGTTCCGTTCACTTCCAGCGTCATTCTCCACGTAGTTTCGTCCTTCGTTGTACTTTTCTGTGATATATTGAGAAACTTCTCTTCCCCTGTCGTAAGAATAATCTCTCCCTCTTTGCAATTGCTCTTCTCCCCTCATCTCTTTTCGCGGCTGTTCTTCTTGACTGAAGTTTCTTTCGGGTGTGTAATACTCGCGTTTACCGTGATAAAATTCGTTATTATTATTTTCTCTCTGCTCAAAATCTCTAACTCTCTGGGGATTAGAATATCTTGGATAGGCGTCCCTTGGTTTGCCCTCTGAAAGAATACAGCAAATGCAAGCTGAAATTTGCGAAAATAACCGAGCAAGCACGAATTTCCTGAGCTTAGATAAACGTATGCAAGGACAGTCTAATTACAGTGTCATGACTCAAACCAATATAAACGCTGGAAAGGTTGTTTTGCATACATTAATAAATTCGTATCACAAAAAAACCTGCATAAAAACAAAACCAATTGTCGCTTATTGAGAGAAAATTCATGAGTATAATTTGGGATAGCGTTCGAAGGCACAAACTTTGCAAAGCTTGTTCTCTGGCAAGCGTGTCGAGAGTTTTTAAATTTCCAGTGAGAGGACATCAATCGTTAAAAGCTTACCTAAAACCTCGATTTGTGGATTCTTGGCCCTTAACTTGGCTGCCAAGTGGGGATGCGAGTCTTCTAATGCCACACACAACTCTTGAAATCCAGTCGGACCCTTGTAATGGAGTAAGTCAAGCAAGCTTTCCGTACGTTCTTGAGGGGTCCGCCCAATGTTTATTCCATCGATTTCTTTCTGAGTCAGTACACCACTCACATACAACAGCGGACAAACTTCGTTAGTTCGAACGTCTCTCAGAATAAGGTCTCGATTTTCAAGCAAAGCACTTTGGTATGGCTTTAACGCCGCAGCCATCTTAGCATTCGTAGTTCGCTTCGTTCGGCGTCGTTTCCTAGTGCCTCCCTGTCAATCAGGCCAGAATTAATTGTTGGCTTTGTTCCTTAACCAATCAGAGGCGAGAAAAGAGCAATGTACCCCGCTGATTCATTCATGACAATGAAAAAATATGCGCAAATTTCGGGTCTCTGTTACGGGGTATTTCATCTAAATATTCTTGCGTTTGCATGAACGGTAATTACATTTTCGCTACATCATTCGCAGCGCGCAAGGTCTCTAGGAAACGGGCAATGATTTAATACAGCAAAATTACTTTGCCATTAGGTCACTGTCATTTGATACCTTTCGATACGAGAATTTCATAGATTCTTCGAAATGGAGCGGTTTCAAAAATATGCAGCTGCATTGCCTGTAAAATAACAAGCCAACTGTCGAAATTCCAACGGTCTTTCCGAGTTGTAAGCCAAATGGATTACCTGCAGGCACCTAGGCATAAACTTAAGGCAAATCCGGAACAACATTCAATTCTGCGATATTGTCGAATTCTTTGAACAATTTATTATCAATAAATCGGCGTTAACAAGATCTTAGGTTCCGTTGTCAATTTCACTTCTTGTTAATATCACACTTCAGAAACAAAAGATTCACTTTATGTCGAATCTAGTTTTCATCAAAAATTTCAATTTGTATGAAAAATCAGAAATCGTTTTCTGCAAAAGACAGTCAAGCTCAACTTAAACTTAATACTATGCTTCAATCCTGACCATGGACTTTACTCTATTTCGTTATTTGTGCTGGTTATTTACACAAACGGAAACAACGGGGATCCGGCAAGAGTAAGATTAAATTCAAACGGTAGAAAAAGTAAGCTTAAGTTTCTTAAATGTTCCCTGAAGGCACGATATTACTATCATTAGATCACTTGTATTAATCAAGACATTGACCTAACCCCAACTTTGCATTGTACGTGATGTAGAATTTCAGCGGAATTTTGACGGGCTCGATTAGAAATGTCTACAGATACCTCGATTTAATCATCGTAAAAGAATGACATTTTTGTGACTTGTGGATTTGATAATCACATACTGGTTTCCTGCTCTGCGTCGCCGTATGTTTACAAATTCCGTTTGTCATTAGCGCTTCCTGTGACATAAGTTTTGTACCTTTAATAAAGTCCACCAAGAAATGTTGTACTTAATATCAAACAGCAAGAATGCAGCCCTTTTTTTTTTTAGATATCATTGGATAAATATCGTCCCTATATTCGAATGAAAATGCAATTGTTCCACTACAAAACGAGTCTGATATTTTCTTGCCCAACCGGAAATGAGTCATGATCGTGTTTACACTCTGGTCCAATGCGCATGAAAGAACTGGAATGTGGAATCCAAGCTAAAATCGTTCTTAGGAATTTTGCCGACGGTCATCTCCTCTACTTTTTTCCTTCTTTTGCTGAAAACTCCCTTTCATTCCAAACCGAATACCAGGTACTTATATTAAACATGAAACAGTAAAGGATACTTTAAATACACAAAACAAAGCATTTTTTGTAACTTACAGTCTCATCAATGTCGTTTCGTTCAGAACCAGTGACCTCGACGGCCTCTGCTGTTTTTTCACGCGCGTAAATCAACAAAGGTAGAATAAGAGAGGAACCTAGGTCCCCTAATTCTATGTTTTAGCACCTTTCCCTCATTCAACGTAGTTTGTTTTTAGTAGATGGAGCGAGGTCGAGCTTTCACCACAATATCCGCAATGCTCATGGACACGCTCATTGTAAAATGTTTCACACTTATTAATGTTCGTGCGCCAAACACTTGAATATTTTCCTTTTATGGTGTGGAAAGGTAAAGCTAAGTATTGGTCGCTTGCTGTCAATATTACACAGTTGTGTCTTGCTCCATTTTTTTTGGGATTTAGTGATCACTGCTAATCAATCTGAGTCTTGACTTGAGGACTCTTCAGACTTCCAGGATTTACCAATAAGCTGTTATAACAAAACATTCATATTAACGAACCTTAAGTTTATATTTGCATTCACTTACTTTGCTCGAAAGAGTTTCAGAAGTGAACAATCCCGAGCGAATGAGAGATTGATTCGACTAGTGCCCAACCGCCAGCTTAGGTACAAAATCAATACAGTCTGCCCCCTCTCAAATTCATGTCCATTATTGAGACAGCTGGTCGTGAAAAAAAAAATAACAACAAAATTGAGTCACCCCATGACCAAAACAAAAATTCCTCCGTTACAACGTTCCTCTTCCTGCATGAGTAACCTCTAAAGGGGAACATACTGATGATGTAAAAGAGAGCAGCAAAGCTGCCATGGGAATGGGAAGGAGAAAACGATTCGATGACCTGGAAAAACCACAGCTACGCAAGCCGCGAGAAGTCGCGACGGCAGTCCTCTCTTACAAGCCGCTCCGAGCTAACTACGTGCAAAACAAGTCGCACTGACAATTCGCCTCGTGCGATGTTGACAATTTTTGTTGCAGTTTTGGTCTCTGAAGCTATAACGATTTACCGAAAAAAATCATGGTAACATAGGCTTTCGCAGTTGGAGCGAGGCCTGGGAAAGAGATGGGCAGCTGATGCACTTTCAAGGCAAGCATTCCTCAGAGACAAGTAGTATCGCATATTGGGAAGTTTTATGGGAAGTAAAGGAGAGACTGAACAATAAAGCGATCTTCGGCGCAAAGAACACAACATCAATGCAAATACCAATAAGTTTCATTCAGTTTAAATTCATACAAGTCTCTAATTCTGATATGTATCGATTCGAGCGTTAAACAGACCACATGCAAAATTTACTACGCGTCATGTATATCTCGACAAACTCGTATTAGTAAGTAACTAGTTCACCAAAAATATTTATTTTTACAAAAATACAAAAACCCTTCTATTATCTACGTTACGAAATAACCTTGGCAGAACTTGAAAGCTTTAATTTATACAATTAAAGGAAGGTTTAACTACAAAACAGATCTGATCGTATCAGCGTTATGCCCTTATTTCTCGTCTTCACTATGTAATAACTCACTGATATACAATTTGATCTACCGAGAAAACGTTAGGGTAGCGCAACTTTATATCCATAAATTACTTTTTCAGAGGTATCACCGTTTCCTCTCATCTTTCTGGAACATTATTTACAAAAATACCGACACTTGTTTGAACAAATGGTAAACCAACTGCAAGCGCCACTTGCTGGCTCATCTCAATTCCTTAACTGCCCAGTTGCGTATATCGATGTTTCTTCAAAATCTTTGGTTACATTTATTTTTTTTATAACTCTGGCATTTCCAATGTAATTTTTCATTAGTAGTCAATGAGAAAAAAAGAAAACAGTGCCTAGCGCGGAAAATCACGAGCGACCACAAACGCGTTTCGTTTTAGTTTTGAATCTGTCTGGCTGAGAAAATGGCTAGAGTTTTCTGGACCATCGTATGAGGTAAGGCAAGACCAAAGTATATTCCGCACTAATTGCGACCTCGACTGAGAATTGCTCTATTGATGGACTTAGGAGAAATACTACTTCTAAACGCCCAAGATTTTAGTGGTTCATGACAAAAGTGCTTTGTAGCAAAAAGCTACTCCCAGAGAAAATCCTAACTGAATGTGTTACTTCTTCCATGAACAAAATACGGAGTTGGCTTTCAGAGAAGTATCTTGGATTTTGTCTCCATTCGTACACAAAAATATATATTTTTATATAGATATATATAATCTTGTTTGACGTTAAATGAATAAGATCCCAATTAAAAAAAGTTAATTATATTTTCAAATATTTATTTTGACGACAAGGTAGGCCATTCTACCAGTACATAAAACATGTTACTGATCGCAATTAAGGTATCGCTAGAGCCCTTGAAACGATTTCAACAAATGTAGTGTGCGAAGGGAGTGCAGCGTTCGACACCGTGTCTTCGCACAGGGATGAAATTCTCGCCAGCTGCTTCTTTTGCACCACCATTAAAAGTGCACCTTTCAATTGAATATCGTAAAACCAAGATCACAATAATGACCCTAGCCAATCAAAACAAGGGTTAACATTAAGCAAATGACAAAGTCGCCATTGGTTCCAGCTTGACATAAGATTAGTTTGAAAAGGTAAATCGAAGAGCGAAGTGAGGTAAAACCAACAAAATTCGAGAAAACGTTCGATACCAAATTGCAAATTGTTTCAAGTCGCAGCGAAGAGCCATTATTATAGCTATTAGGATACAAATACGTAGATACATAAATTTACTTTCTTTGTTAATAAACGAGAAATGCTATTTATACTCTTTCGTTTATGGGATTCAATATCTTTCTATCTTCAGGTTACGTCGAAGGCATGTTCACTCCTGATGTGGAGGCCACTCTTTTTTCACCGACCTTACTCTCCTGCTTGCACGTGTGGACAGAATGAACATAGTGCATCACTACTAGCTGGGAATAATCCTGTAGGAATTCTCCTACATTCTCTATTATTCAAACTCTCTTAAACCTAAGTGAAAATAAAGAAAAAGAGAAATAGTCATAAATTGAACCGCTTGCCCCGTTTACACACACATACACACAAAAACAAACAAACAAACAAACAATGAACTGAAAATATAGAAAACTATAAGCCTACAACAGTAAACAAAAAAAGAAACACCCTCTTGGATTTCTAGAAAGTTTCTATTGGTTCACCATTAATTTCCATCAGTCAGTGATACGCACCATGTTAAATTTGGTAATCACCAGCAGTGATCTCATTTAAGTCTCTCATAAGTCCTTCAAGTCCTGCTATTTCTTTGTCAAGCTCCGATACCTCTGGAGCCTAAGAACAAATATAAAAAATTCATACTAATCAAAAACAGTTTTCCTGACGAGGAACTTCGTAAGTAAAATAATTCAAAAGACGACGGGGAAGCAAATGAAAAAAGGGCTCCCTTATAGTCTTTACCTGATCTCTGGGCGGCGAAGATGGCGGACTCAGTGGCGGATTTGACCTGCGCGCGAAGATCTCTTCATATTTCGGTGGCGGAGTCCAGTATCCATTCGGGGGCGTCTTACGGTTAAAACCTACCGGAGGTAACTGTATATCATCTGCTGGAGCCACCGGAGGTTTGGCTTTGGGTTTTGGTGATGTTGGCGGAGGAGACGTGTGAAGCTTCGGAAACACTGGTACCTATCAAAGACACAAAGGATGTTATTTACAAGGGTGATCGAGTATGGCTCATGTGCATGAGGAGATTTGACTCTGAAGAATAAGCCACAAGATCTAATGAACGCGCTTACAAGCATTGCGAAGGCCTGGATCTAAAGCATATCATCTAAACCATACCTCCATCAAAGTTTTTAAACGCGGTAATACAAACAACATAAAAAACGTTCTGTATTTGGTAAGTGGTAGAGGTATAGACAGGGGTGGGCAAGAGAAGAAAACAGAAGAAGTACTGGGCCCTTTCCTTTCCTTCCCTCCCCTCCCCTGTTCAGCCCCTCTTTCCCTTCTGAAGAGTAACTTGTGAATAAAGGCATTCTCGGAGAGTGGTTTAGAAAGGAATGGGCTCAGAAAGAACCCAGTACACACATATGACTAACTTTTGTTTTTTTAACACCTCCATCACGGGTTTTTGTTTGTTTGTAATTTTTTAAGATTTTGGCACCGCAGATTTCCGAGACATGAGCCTCGAGAAACCAAAAGACTCCTCTGGAAAAAAAGACTTTGTATTCATGAGAAAAACAGAGAAGGACGAAAAAGTTAGGAGAGCAGATAAAGGGGAAGAAAAGATACAGAGATAAGGTATTTTCCCGAAGGTTTCTTTTGAATTTTCTTTTTTGTTTGTCTTTAGGAAAGAGTAAAAAATTAAGGCATACTAGAGAAACGTCCGGTAAAGAGAAAGTAATATCAAAGTTGCACATTACCTTGGCACTTGGAGCTCTGAAGTCTGGGTCGTACGATCTGGATCTCTGCGGTGGACGTGGATCCCCAACATCGAGGCTATTGTTCTCGCATGAGCCGGTCCGTGGCAGGTGCATCTGATAACGGGGTGTAGGTGCTTTCGGATACATGGGCTGGTAAACTAGCAATTTGTAAGATTAACACTGAGGTCTTTCACACCGAGGATTTTGATATTTCGATTCTCCTTACTGACCATCATGCATTTCTGACGGTTTTTATTGTGGGAGTTTGATACCAAATCATGCACTGTCACCATGATGATAGTTTCTTTACTCTCGTTATCTTATTTTTTAAGGTATTGAAATAGTTTCATATGGTATTGAAATTGTTTCATTGAGACATTACTCGCTACTAATCCTTGGGTTAAACAAGAAGACTTGTTGCTTGTATAGCATCAAACTCGCGTTTGATGATTAGCTTTGTACGGTATATCCTTAAAACTCACAAACCCTACCACAAGTTTATCCCTGTTACGATTTCGTTCATTCGTTAACATTTCGATAGCTTACTAATGTTCAAAGAAAACTTAACAGTCACAAAAATCACTGTACCATTATCTGGCGTGGATGCTCTGAGCGGGGGATAGAGGGGTGACATTCCAGGCGAAGGGGGAGGCGTAGAGGTTCTGCTGTCTTCAGGGTATTCAACGTAAGGATTTCCTGCGCTGTCGATCTTTGGAGGAGGAGGAGGAAGGTCATCAAACTCCTCGCAATCCGCCTCACTACCATTCATAAAAGAGCTCCTGTCCTGATCGATTTTGATGTGGTCCAGAGGAGAGTCGTCGAGCGGCTTCATTTCCCCAGTGCTTCTGTTGATGTAACATAAAAATCTGTTACAACATTCTTTCTTTGTTACGTTATCAGAAATTTGTGTCACAATCTTCAGTAAAGCTTCCGTCAATTGAATCCCCACCCCCACCAACAAGACAGCGGGAGAAAGAGAGGATTTAAAACACAATTTAACGATCTAAGTACGATATACCTTGGAATAGACGCAGTAATGTTGGTAACATCTGGAGCAGGATCCACAGTCTGAACTGGTTTCATATCAAGGTTCTCGGTGTGATTGATCCACAGATCTGGTGGTTTTTCTTCCTTGCTCTTCTTCTTTGTTGAGCCATTCGCTTGAATGACGGACTTGTATGTTGGAGGTTTTCTGCAGACAACAAAAAAAACGCGTCATATCAGTTGAGGTTCAAAAATACCCCACTTCAATTGGGGTTTCAGGAAATAGAATTTAATTTAAATAAGTAAGGAATGAAAAAATAGATGGAAAACAAGTAGATGAATATATTTGGAGGAGTTAGGATATCTTCGTAAGATAAGGGCACTGTAAAATAGATGAGTATTTACTTATTAAAGCTATACTTATATAAACAAAATATTTGAATACGCGCGATCTCATTGGTCGATAGGTGTGCTGAGATAAACGTACGTTAACTGGGAAAAAGTCCTCTACTGCTTAAATTCACGAGATAAATAATGAAATATATAATATGTAAATATTCTATAACTACCTCCGAATGTCATCTCCTGATCTCTTCTTACATAGTATAACACTAATGATGATGATAGCGATGAGAGTGATGCCCGCCACAGCGGCGATAACGATCCACAATGTCTTGTTCTTGAGTTTCCCTTGTCCGGCTAAAGCAGCGCTGTCCGGTGAAGAGGGCGACTTCAATTCTGTCAATCAACCACACAATTGTACAATTTTATTGTTTGTGGTTTTTAAATGTGTGTTGACGTTTGCACTCCTCACCTTCCACATTATACTAAAGATTATTCCTACACCTTCTTTTTGTCAGCTCTTTCAAAGAACATTCTTAGTTTTATTTCTACTTTGAGGAGCTCGAGATAAAAATTAGGAGTAGCTCCTTCAACAGCTCGACTATGAACAGATACACTTGTGAGGAAAATCACTGTAGGGTAACACCCCCCCTCCCATCTACCAATGTATTATGCTCTCAGGAACGATATTCACTAACCCTCTTCACTCAGAAGTTTAGGGGGAAGGGCAAGTAGATTTCAAGGATTATTTCTAAGTTCTACACAACAAACCTGTGGCTACTGAGGGCTCTGTTTTCAAGCTTTTTGTCAACGTAGCAGCCTCCTTTCTTTTCGAATGACGTCCCCATCCTTTTTTGGTGCGCGCCTGCATTTCAAAGTAGTAAGTTGTTCCAGGTTCTAAGCCAGTGAATTTCTCTGTAAGTTTGGATCCGTCAACAAGTACAGATTTCCAGTCCTTAACAGGAGTATTCGGATCTGTAGAGTAAAAGATGCGGTACTTGGTGATGTTCCCATTCAGTTCCTTCGGCGGCTGCCAGTGTAACGTCAGTTGGGTGAAGTTCTCTTCATCTGGGTTTCCGGTCAAGTCAGTGGGCGGTCCGGGTTCTAGAGGTACCAAAACAACAACAAAATGGTCAAAAACGGTCAATAACAAAGGTGTATTCGATTTCTTCTCAACAACATATTTGAAACCGACACAAATCTCTTTACAAGGTGTGAAGTATTGGACCTAAGCAGGGTTCGTCAAAACAATTATCATCACGAGGCAACTTGGTTCTGGTCATGCTGATGTATCCCTGCTCCTTGACTGGGCTACGAAATTAAAATTTGATATAGCTTGATGTGACAAAGACAAGGCCACATTCAAACCAAAGCTTGCTTACGTTTTAAAAGATTTTTTGTTAAACATAGTTTGAACTTTAATCTCTTCATAGAAGCTGTTTAAAACAAAGTATGTCGACTTAAAATGTAGCACAATGAAGATACAAGTTAGTGAAAACTTGAAACCTACGGACAATTCAGTTTTCAGTTCTCTGCTTGCGATTTCAGTCAGCTAAACCCGATTTATTTGAACATGTTTTATTGGTGTGAATGAGGTATAAGATACCTTGCACAACAATCTAAAATTCGACTTACTGTCCTCTGAAGTCAAACTGCTGATGGAAGCATTTACTTGCTCGTCATTTCGCCTCACATAAAAGGTATATTCTGTACACGGCTTCAAACTGGAGCATTTTATTTTCTTATCCGTTGTATTTCCACAATATGTCAGTTTTTTGCGCAGAGAATGGTACACATGATAAGTTATAGGCACAGAACTGGATGCTTGCTCATCTTTCCATGACAACTGCATTTCTCTTGGATCTGAAGAGACTGCTTCCACAATTTTCACCGGCTTTGTATCTTCTGAAATAAATATGTAATCTTTGATTATAAATACTATCCATACAAGAAGAAAAAAAATTAATTAAAAAAAAAATCCAGATGTAAGAAAAAACGAATACGAAACGGTCGGTCGGTCGGTCGGTCCTTCTGCCCTGGTCATAAATATGTCTTGAAAAGGTTTGAAAATAGGATAAATGTTTTATAAAAATTTCCTTTGAATGACTTACCTATTCCAGATAACGTTTGTAATTTAGTTTGGACATCAGGACCATTGCCTTTGCTGTTGATTGCAATGAGTAAAATCACATAATTCTTGTTGGGCTCTGTGCAAAAGAAAGAAATAAACAGACAAACAAATAAGACCATTAATAATAACAAAACATTCTGGACACCACATAAGGTCACTTTCTGACGCAGTGAGATGGTGCAAAATGCATAGCATGGGGTATTTAACTCGTGACCACTTATTGTAATGTCCTTAGGAAAGGAAACTGGTTTTAATTGTCAAAATATGAAAAATCAGGGTCAATTTAAAGTATTTGGCTGTTTCAGGGAAGTCAGTTTTGCCTTGAATAATAGAGAGTTTTGGACACATGGGATTTTAGAAAAGGGGATTCCACTGAATTTGCTTCAGAGAAAACCAGTTTTTTTTTATTTATTTTCATTTTAAAGTCTTTTAATATAAGAGTCACTTATAACCTGACAATAACCTTTAAAGCAAATTCTGTAAGTAGCCAGCCATTCCATGATAAAACTCAAACAAGAGAAAGTTGTGACCTCAAATTCAACTCACTCTCAGTACTTAGAAAGAAATAATAGAAGTTACGTATATATCACAATTTTCTTACAAAGGTATCACCTAATGGGGACTGTCTAGTGGTAAAGATAGGAATGTTTTATTGAACCCACAAGTAAGCATGTACGATTCTTTTAAGATTAGTTGTTTGGATTGGCAAGATAAAACAAACTGGTTTCTCTGGACTGTGTCAATGAAGTATCAATGAAGTAAAGAATATCTGCTTCAATCAATTATTACCAGAATGAAACATGCTTCATAGATGAGAATCCTGCAGGTCATCTGTTACATTTCCAAAATTATGCATATTTGCAGCACCAGCCAAACAGAAATGGGAACTCCTGTTTTATTTCCTTTATTTGTACGGCCATCAGCGAAAAGATCAAGTTTTGTTGTTTGTTTTGTTACCAAAATGTCATGCTGTACCTATCCTTAAATGCTTAAAATATTCGGAAAGAAAAGCTTGGCAACAAACTTACTGAGTCCCTTGATGAGATACTCCGTTTGGTCTCCTTTCAGGCGTCGTGGATCATATTGGAAAGGGGCATTTTCTCCCCATCTAATTTCGTAGCTTGAAACGCAGACCAAGCCAGAATTATCTGGTGGCTTCCAGCTTACCAAAATGGTAGTGGAAAGCACCTTTGCCTTTTTAAATGTTGGTTTCCCTGGTGTTGTATCCTCTGTGAAGGATGCATTAAATAGCAGTTTAAGAAAGAAGGTAGAAAGACAAAAATGTCATTTTTGAGGGAAAAAAGTTCTTCCTATAAGTCATCTGACACACTACCAACATAAGCCAACTTTGCAATGCAGGAGGGATTATGGAAACCTTTCTTCTTTTGGTTAATGATTGCAAAACCTCACAGAAAGTTATAGCAAGCTTTTCAAGTTAAAAACAGTATATGCTGGTTTCAAAGACAAGACAAGTTATCAACTGGCATAACAGAAAAAACATTCTCTCATCATCTAGAGGATACTTGCATACAATTCCTGTTTGCCCATTAACTGAGAGTATGTCAATTAAATCCAAACAGTAACAATGGCTGAAATAGGGGGCTGAAGGTTGAAACTGCATATATGTCACTAACCGTTAATGGTATAATTTCTGATGGAATTTGAACTGAATAGGCAACTCCATTTCTTGAAAATTATTAACTGCACTGACACATAGGCTTAAGCATTTTTAAACTTGTGCAAATTCATCCTAAATTTCACCTGAAATCGTTTGGTTACCAATACATACAAAGCTTGCCAAACATGTTTGCTGCTTTCTGAACTGCTTCTATTAGAAAAAACATATGCTAGTCTTACCTTCACATTTACTGACATTTGTGCTTGCCCTCACCCAATCCTTTGTGTACTCTCCTATACCAGAATCAGTACCAGCAGCAATGATGGCTTCATATCTAGTGCTTGGCATTAAATCTTCAATGGTGTAGGTCTCTTTGTCAGCCTAAAACATAGGAAATGATAAGCTCTCAAAAAGATCCAACACTAAACCATTATCATAATTTAAAAAAAAAGGTTGGCACTGAGCTCAGGATTAACAGAGACTCCTTCCTGGCCTGTACCAGTGCAGCCATGCAAGAATTATGAGAAGAAAGACCTTGTGAATCATTTAAGGCATAGATGCTCCAAAATGCCTCTCTACTAGCACCTGTTACTGTCAAAGTTTTCATGACTCGTTTTTATAATAGGCTATTTTGATTCCCAATTATACATCAATTACTGTTGATTTTAAATGGCAATCCATTGTAGTTGTAAAGAGTTCCATAGACAACAAATTTGCCATTGAGTCCACCATATAATTGTCTACATCTTCATGTAATCACTGAATACTGGTATGCATCCTTACTGGAATATCTTCAGTTGTGTTCTCCAGTTTACTTCCAACTTTCCTGAATATAATCTTGTAAAATGATACTCTTCCATTCACTTTGGTTGGGTCTGGGGCCTTCCAAGTTGCTATCAATCCTTTTCCTGTACTGTCAGGTTTTAGTACAAAGTCAGTTGGTGGTACTCTTGGAACTAAAACAAACAGTTATGAAAACTTCATGGACCAAATCATTAACAGTGCTCAACAGTTAAAGGATCATAGTCAACCATAAGACCATTGCACACTTAGCCCACCATTTTCTATGCCATCTAAATTTGTGAAATTTCTATTGTGGTCTATCATCCAAGTGCATCTGAGTGATCTAAATATATTGAGGTCTTACATTGTCATGGCAGTCTTCTGAAACTATCAGTGGTTTCTTCTAAATCATTATTTTAGTAGTTTCTCACAATTTTTTGGAGTAATTTGTGTTTGTAACTGGGAACATAGAGGGCATCTCACATTCCTCCACATGGAAGGCCTATAGCCATGGCACAGAAGAAAAGGATTCAGCCTCAAAGACCTACCTTTGACCTGTGGAATGACAGGAAGGATAGTCTGGGCATCAAAGGTCTAACTAACAGCTAATTTGCAGAGATTTTGCTGCATCAAAGAATCAACAAGCTGAGACTGCCTGAGGTGCAGGTCACAAGAAGCAAATGAGGAGTTAAAAAGAGTTGACCAGCCTGCATGACTGCTGCCATTTGCAAGTGATTTTGCCATTGGAGATTTGCTCTGACCAGGAGATATATTTTTATGACTTTCCTTTGTGGTGTGATTGAGTGTCTTGGGCTTTAAATAAGTTCCCATTTCCCCATCAGTATTTTCTTTATTTTTAAGTTACCCCTCTTTACCAGAGCAAATAGCTCCAGACATATCTCTCCAGAACTCTGTTGGGTATCTCCTATTCCCCTCTTTAATGGAGGAGCCCATTGGATTTGTTCTTAGGATGCGTAACACTTCTCCTTTTACAAATCTTTTCTTTACACCTTATAAAAAGTGTTGATGGGCCGACACGACTCCTGCCAGGAATTGAGTGTAATGTGAATGATTTTTCCTGCTGTTTTCCATATATAAACAAAAAAAGAGGGGTGGTTGACCAGGATTCTTAAAAGAATACTACACTTAGCCTTTACTCGAGGACAGCCTCTGACCACTTCAAAGAAGGCTATAAAATGTAATAAGCAAGGAAAACTATTCATTCAAAGGGTATTCTTCTGCCCTCTCCTTGAGTAACTAAAGGAATGTAGTTCATTTTGCAGCTACAAATACCTCCTCCTTTAGTTGTTGCTTCTGTTGTTGCTTTGGCACCAGCCATCTCTCGCTTATTCACTGCATAGACCTCGATGATATACTTGGTGTAGGTATCAAGGTAGCGCAAGACCCTTGTTTGTTGCTTTGTGCTCTCATGCATCTCTCCATTAGTGCCAGCTTTCTTGTACATAATGTGGTATCTGAGTACTGAGCTGGGCCTGTGGGTAAAAGATTAGCCACTATGAGGACAGAGGAAGAGGATATTACATGGCCATACATGGAAACATATTTTGTAGCATTCATATGTGTGCACATGCATCTCAAAGGAGGAACAGTAATCATGTATGCAGCACATGTCAAAAGTCAGAAAACTAGACAATACAGGATCCTGTTGAACTTGACTTGTTTAACTTTTAGAACATACAAAAATCTAATTCTCATGATGGTGGAGAATCTTGATAATTTCCTTGACAACTGAACTAGTCACAATCTTAAGCCCTGATGTTGAACATGTTGTAAAATAATTGGTTTATTGCTCAGGCACTATATATTGCTCAAGCATGTGTTCATGCAGGTGAGAAGCATTTTGGGAAGTTTACAGAGCACATTTCTACTGCTTCCATCTTATTGAGTCAATTGTTTTGTAACTGTTGTTCAGTAGAACATGGATTAATCTCCTGATCCTTTCATTAGAGGGGTTTCAAAAAAATTTGGCTGGCCATATCCTCTTTTGAGGGGGTTGAGATTTGCCAGCAGCATTTAGAAAGAGGAAAAGTGTCACTAAAATCAGGTGAACCTGAACATTTATGAAAATCACTTTTCATACCTTGACTTAACATATTGCTGGTGACAATCAAAAACTGATTAATTTCTGGGTGCATGGACAACCCACAAACACAGAAACTGTTGCCAAAGAGTTCTACATTCACAACAGTACATTACAAAGAGGAATAATGTATATAATAAATATAAGCAAATGTTACTAAAGAAAAGATTTTCCACAAGGATTTGTCTACCAAATATTTTTCCCATAACTTACCCTGTATCTGGCTCTGACCATGTGACCCTAATTGAAGAATCAGACTCTGCCTCAGCTACTAAGTTTTGAGGTTTTCCTGGGACTTGTGAACTGGGATATGTACTGGCTGTAACCTCATCTGAAATAGCTCCTGCACCAGCCTCATTCACGGCAAAGACATTGAAACGGTATTTTGTATCAGGTATGAGGCCAGGAAAGGACTTTTTAAGTTGGTCTCCAGGTGTGCTCACAGGTTTGAACTGTATGCTATCTGTAACAGCAATAACATGTTAAGCGGCAACCTTTCTTGAGTAAAAACATGAGAACCAGGTATCTGGTCCACAGAGACATTCCAATTCAAAATTTAGAATAGCAAAATGCATATTATGCAAGAATTACAACCCCAAAATGCTTACCTTGTTTGGTGACAAGTGAATATTTAGGCCAAATAGGAGAGTACTAATTACTTTATTAATAAAAATTAGCTTACCATCACTTGGGTTGAACACACTATAAAAGATTCTGTAATGCTGAATCTCTCCATTAGTAGCCTTTGGAGGTTCCCAGGTCAGTAGTATTTCAGTGTCTGAACGAGCAATGGCTACAACATTTTCTGGTTTCTCAGGTACTCTTGGTTTAGGTGTAGGTGTGGTTGTTGTTTGTCTGACAGTTGTTGCTTGTGTTGTTGTTGGTGGAGCTGTAGTAGTTGGAAGACGTTCTCCTGATAAAAAAGTTAGAGAATTCTTGTCAGACATAAAATTCTGACATATTCTTAAGCAAAGGATACTAACTAAGAGAAATCAATGTCTCAGATATGACAAATTTTAAAGCAAAAATATGGTAGATGAATGCCTTGGAGCTTACATAAATCAGTTCACAGAAAATGGTGAAAATGTTGCAGTTGCACTTGTCATGAAAACTATGGTGAAATTGGTTCCAAGCAAACAAATAAAAGGAGACATTGCCTAGATTTGTAAGAAAAATATTTCAAATTTTAGACCTTTAAATCAAATAAAAAGGTCATGAGAATGAAGGAATTGATCACCAATATAAGAAACTCCTGATTGACAAACAAATTCTTCTTGTCACTACCATTGGAAATGTAGAACAGTATGGAGAATATGAAAAAAAGGGTTAAGAACAAGGGCAGGGCATGAAATTAATCTTTTTTTCTGATATCCACTTGGCTCCTAAATTCTTAAAAGTGGTGGCCAATTCAAAAAAAGTTGGTAGCCATTTTTAAAAACAAACAAAACCTTTTTTTCACACTGTCAGTGTTCTGGATAGACCCTCCAAAATTAAATTAGGAAAAAGATCTTTAACATGCTACAAAGTGGATACTAGGTTGGATGATATACAATGTTCAAGCTCACCTAAATCCAAGATGGCGTGTAGTTATCAGTCAAGATGCATGTGCTGTGTTTTGGAAGTGAACTTAACAAGGAAGTTTGCCATGGATTTATCTTTACAAATCTTTTTAATTCACTACATCTCTAGGTAAGGTTATGATGAAACATTCTAGTCACCAATTTGGTGACTAATTTTCAGGATTTGGGTTGCCAAAGTGAAAAATTTAGTTGCATTGAAATTTCTGTTATCTTACATTAAAAGTTACTGAAACAAGAAAGTTGATTTCTAGATTTCTACAAGACAGTGTCTCAGCAAATACCATATTTTGTCCATTGTACACATGTAATTACCTTTCCTGTACACAAAAAGGTTTGCTGAGGCTTGTACTTTTCCTAAATAGTTCTCTGCAAAGCATTGATAGACAGCAGCATCCCAGAAGACCAAATCTTTCACTAACATAAAGCCATCTCCAACTACAATGTAATCACCACCAACACCAACTCCATTTTTGCTCCACGTGATTGTTGGTTTGGGTATTCCATGTGCTGAGCATTTGAATCTTACATCTGATCCACTATGAGCATGAACATCACTTGGTTTCATGGAGAAAACAGGAGCATCTGAAAACAAAGATAACAATATTGATTTCTTTAAGCCAATATTCATTTATGTTGCAGCAACATGTTGCTGATTACATTCCAACCAACATCTCCATACTTCCTCCCTAGTTTCATTTTTTTTTTCACTAGGAGCCATGCATGTTTAAACACCATGCTGTACGAACTTGCATATCAATCAGCTTTGTAATGTTGCTACATGTAATAGAAAGCTCCTCTCTGACATAATTAGGCATAAGTATTAGAACAAGTTTAGTAAATCTCTCACTTTTGGGAAGAAAAAATTATAAATCTTCTCATTTTCTTCAAACATCCTAAGCTGGTTTGATAACCAGCAAGAGAACGAATACAAAGCACAGTCTGATGCTCTACAGTCTAACCATAATTCAAAAACTTACAATGTACTTCCAATTTAGCTGAAGCTTCCTCTTTCCTAAAGTCAGCCACTGCTCGACAAGTGTAGTTTCCTGCATGTGCTACAGTTACAGACTTAATTATGAGGTTACTCTCTCCTAAAATTGAGTAGTCTTTTCCAAGCCACACAGGTGAGCCATTTTTCAGCCAAGTTACTCGTGGTTTAGGAGATCCATTTGCTATGCATTCAAGGACTACCTCACTGCCAAGAACCGCCACTGTGTCCTTAGGTTTTACTTCAACACGAGGACGGCGCGAAAACCCAGTATCTGTCAGTTAAATATAGAGACCCACACAAATGATCCAAACTTTGGTCTAGTGACTACAAAGTAGTAAATTCTAGGTAATAGTCCCTCAATCAAGTTAACTCACTTTGCTTTAGGTTAATATTCTAACTATTAAATAACTTATCAGAGATCTCAAAGAAACAACCCTTCCTTCTGAAACAACCCTTTACTCTCCATTTCTTCCCAATTTACTGCTCCTGCCTACTTCTGGATAGGCAGAACCTTGGCAGAAGTTGTTAAATTGCCATTTTAAGTCATTGTTTAGAAAATTGTTTCTATAACAATTATAACATCATATCAGAGAGTATCATCAACAAATTTTCATACACAATTCACAGAACAATAGTTTGGGATCAATTTGTCAAGAAACTACTTTGGATTCCATTTCAAGTATCATGTTGCAATCCTTTGTTTACTTTTGAATCTGAGTTACTAACAAATTTGCTGGATAATATTTTCGACTCAACATGAGAAAAAGAATATAAAAAAAAATCTTGCTCAAAAAAGTGAAGTGCTCTGACAAATGTTTCAGTTCAGAGCTCTGTTGTTGATTCCAGTTTTTGTGATTTAAAACCACAAATAAGAGTATTACCAAGTTTAACTCCATCCCTGGGTTTAAGTAAATAAGCTTAAACTATAATAGCTTTAGACATTCCTCTTAGGTGGACTCTGGAGGTAATAACATGCCCAGCATCCAGTCCCTGACAAAGACTTGTCTCCACACCAGTAGGTTCTTGTCCACCCTTGAATTCTGTTATCTTTCAAGGGTTGAATAGTGTCTGAACAAAAGTGTTGCAGACATTTTGCATATAATTTTGTAAAACTTACCAGGTAGAACTTCAATAAATCCTGTGTCTGTGCTAGTATGCCTCTTGTTGGTGAATAAATTCTCAGCAATGCACTCATAATCTCCTCCTTCCTCAAATCTGATATTCCTTATTTGTAGAGCTCCATTTGGAATCAAAGTGTAATGTTTTCCAGATGAAATTGTGCCATTTTCACCTTTCTTTCTCCAACTTATCACAGCTTTGGGTGCTGAATGCTTTACACTACAGAAAAATCTTGATGTATCCCCAAGTGGAACTTTCCTTGAATATGGGGAAATGACAGACACCTTGGAAGAAATACCTGAAACATAACAATATCATTGTTAATTTCAAACATTACAAAATATCATTATTATAATATCAATCGACTACTATGTTTGTTTTCAAAACTGCTTTTCTTGGGAATCACCCTTGAACCTCTTTAGAAGCAACTACCATTTTGCACAGAAGACTATGTATGATTAGAGTCTTATTTGCAGAGAAAAAACAACAACACAGTCACTAATTACACTTGAGCAGACAAATGTCATTCTGAGGCACTTTACATACTGGTCAAGTGTGGGGGTCTTGGCTAATGAAAAGGAAGAAAGAATTTATAGAATGATGAAACAAATAACACATTTTACCAGTCGATGAGAGGTGACAAGTTGATCATCTATATTTGAAGCTATTGCCATAAATGCATGTAAAGCCTCAAATACTGAATCCAATCTTCAACAGTACCTAACCCTATCATATCCATATACTAGCTGAGAATGAATACGATCTGCATACTAAAGCCATATGCTGGGAGCAATGGTAATTTCCATGGTATTTAAGACAACACAATAGGAGTCAAAACCATGTAATGACAAATTTAACTGAAAGTTGTAATTCCTATTTCACTGTAAATTACAGAATTGTTAATTAAACTGATGATTGGACAAAATTATTTTTTTTTGTCATCTAAACAATTGTTTTTTTTGCTCAAATTTACATGCTAGTTTGATTTATTATTCTGATTATTTAACCATCAGAGGGTGTAGAATAAAGTTTCTGAGTTGTACAATCTCGTAAAAAAATCCACAAAAACTCCTTGGGATAGTTATTGAAAACAATTAATATATTTTAATATCTTACAGATGGAAATAAACACTTTTTGCTGATACAGGCATGTACACAGAACCTTCCCTCCCCTCTCTAACAATGTTGATAAAACTAAACAATTACCACATCTTGCAAAAGTTTACGAAGCACACAAATTCAAAACTGTTTGGGGGAGAAGGGGCATAACCAGATTTTAGTAAAATCATATTAAAAGTAACAAGACTTTTACCCTCCATTGTAGCTTTCCAGTTGACCAAATAATCTCCATATCTATTTAAGTGCTAATTCCAAGCATTTCTTAGGAGGGGGGCTTATTTAAGAGTCAAGAAGTGGAATTAGTGAAAGATTTACAGGATCATTTTTGAAGCTACAGGGGTCTTGAACTCAACCAACCCTAACCAATGCAATAAGACTCCTTTCCAGTTCGTGAAAATGTAGCATGTACATGTAAAATGAAAACAAAAGGAAAGACATTTCTTCCCCAAAGTTCATAAAATTTAAGACACTTTTTATTGTTTTGTCCTCCACTCTATCTCGAGTTGCAAGAACTGGCCTTAGAATTCATTTTTTTTTGGACAAGTACTGAATTCACTCAACATTTAATAAAAATAACTCTTGCGATTTTATCAGCCTTCCACCCCTCAATAAAGAATCCAGAGAGAGAACACCAAGGGACTGTTGATTTGGGTGATGAAAACAAGAAAACAGCCCAGACTGTATCCCTCAGAATTGCATAATTTATGCTTCCAGTGCATGTAGTTATGCATATGTAGTGCAAAAATTTACAAATGTATGCTAATGTGTGTATCTAAATTTTTTCTTTGTCATTCACTACAAGCAAATGCACGTACTCTTTCACAGTGGGAATTTGTATTTCATTTGAATTAATGATTCTGAAATGCATTCCTGCCACAGAGAAAAGAGGAAAGTTAACATTCAAAAATTATTCCCTTCAAAAACCCGCCCTTGAGTTAATCAGTTTAGGTGGATCTGGTGCATACAAAAAATTTTAGATTGTACTTCGAAGTTCATTATGATTCTCTACTGTTTGAAATGACCAAAATCATGGTAATGTATGCAAAATGCATGAAAAAATGGGAAATAGAGCATTATAAACAAATCTACATTACATTCATTTAGTAAAGACATTCCTTTACCAAAAACATTGTTGCTAGTCACCATGACTGCCCAAAGGTACCCACCATATTCCACCTCATTTATGTCTTTCTCTGAGCTTGACAGAAACGTTTCATCAGCAACAAAGTTTTTCCCCACATTTATATATGTTCATTGAAATCACTGTGGTTATCATCTCTCTGGAATCTATAAGGAGGTAAATTTAGGAGGCAAAATTCTGCTAGTAACTTTTAATAACATAACTTACCAGCAACAATAACACGAGCAGTTCTGCTTAAAACTTCATGATCAAAACTCTGAATTCTTGAAGATGCTGCACATTGATAGATCCCTTCATCTGGCTTCTGAGTCTTATTGTGAATAATTTCTGAAAAATATAGAGATCCATTTGCTGTAATCCTTCTTCTACTGTCGCTAGTCAAATCCAAGTTATTGCCATTTCTTTTCCATATTATACTGGGTTTTGGAGTTCCTCCTACTCGACAATGTAGTTCTGCTGGTCTCCCCTTTTTGACGTATATATCTGAGGGTTCTTCAATAAAGTATGGTGCTCTTGAAAATGTTCCTGCAGAAGAAAATTGGAACACTTATTAAATGAAATGGGGACCACACAATTTTATTTCAATCCTTATCAAACTGATCACTTGTTTAAGTATATATAGAAAAAAAAATGATGCTAATGATAAATTGTAATAGGAATAAACCTCCAGTTAGAGACAGGCTATATCAAGTGAGGGCATTTTTGGAGCCTGGTGTCAGGAAATCTAACAAGATCATCCTCCAAATCACAAATCCTGACAGTATGTATGAACTTAGTTTCAATTAGTGGCATAGCAACTATCAGTCTCCTTTTAAATATTTTGGTGGTAGAACATGCAAAGTACTAATCACAAGGTTAAAAGGTCCAAAGTTTGTTATCAGTACGCAGAATTTCTCTATTCCAAATATCAGCAGATATTTTCTCTCATTTTCATTGTTTCTATTTTCAGTTCCTTTAAAGTTAGTTTTGTTGTTCAGGTGACTGACTAGACTCTGTCAATAACAAGTAATATAATCAAAGAAATTCAAACTGCAAATGATAAAAAAAAAGACAATATTGCTGTAGTTTTTCAAGCAAAACATATGCCATAAGGAATCAACCATGTGTAACTTGGATGTGAAGTAAAACCAGGTGGCTTTTAGCTGATTTTAAACTAATTATAATATTAGTGAGGAGTAATCATCAAAATCTTGTTTACACAAATTTAGGCAGATAATTTACTTCTGTCTGAACTGGCATTTTAATGGACAAAACTGTCATTCAAGACACAAACCAACAAGATAAGGGACAACAATAAGGCAAATCTAATTTATCAGATCCAATTTCCCCAATAAATCACTAGCTGTGTTAAATTTATTACATGATTGATAACATGGACCCCCATTAATTCAATAATGAAAGATATTCAATCTAACCCATCCATCTTCACATCATGTCTGTCTTTCAGTACCAGATCCTGTTTCTATTTATACATAGGGATGACATGAAGTGAATAACAAAATTTTGAACATTCAAATTGTGACTTTTTCTAATTCTGGTGAAACTTCAACCCACATATACAGTTTTGTAAGCTTAGAAAATATAGTTGGAGAAGACAAAGTTCTTTAACTAAAGAGGAAATATAATTTGCAACATACAATGTAAAAAATAGACAGGTTCTATGTACATATATTTGTATATATTTTTTTTGGGGGGGCACAAAATAATTATGGTGATCACAATTTTCCACCTAAAGATTTTGATGTGCTGAAAAACTTTTTTTCCTCTCTGGTAAACATCAAGCATGTGATAAGCAAATGACTTTCACCTTTACAAAAACACATGAAAAATATAATATATTTTCCAGATCTTCAAATAAAACAGTGAAACACCAGCTTAAAATGAAGAATGACTTTATATCAAGGTTTCTGAACATGAAAGATTAATCATTGTCCAAATAATAAAATAATTGACTAAAAAATCATACTAAGAATAAAAGCAAACTGTTTTAATACATAAATGGTTTTCTAAACACTTAACAGCAATTTTGTTAGGGTATAAGGTGATTTTGGGAACATGTATCGCATGAGCTCCACACAAAACTCATCTTATGCTAAACTGACTGAGAAATAGGCATGCCACTTATTTTAAAACCAATGACCAATTATAATATTACTTGAAATTTATTATTAAATGCGTTTTAAAATGTACTCCTCAAAAACACTTTGACAAGTACCTGAATACCTTTGCATATTGTACTGAGTGAGTAGATTCAATCCAACATAAATAGCTGTATCAAGTTAATAACTTTGGCAAGTTGGTTAACTTCACATTGAAAAGAGACAAATAGAGGTTGACTATCCAAGTGGTTTGTTTTTTTTTAAACAGTATTTTTCTACAATGGTCAGAATGTCAATATCACACAATAGTGAAAAATTTCCATTGGAGAGATGTGTCGTATTCAAAATTTTATCCAAAAACCTTGGAGGTGAAAAATTCAGGACACACTACGATAGCTTGGCTCACAAATTTTGTCATTCAGAAATTTGTATGTCTTACAAAAGTATTGAGGACTTTATTGTGTCCTACTGATTAACTATTAAATGCCTTAGGACTTTTTTTAATTGAAAGCACTTAAAGTCAAACATACATAACCAAAAGCATAAATTTATAAATTTATAAAAATCAACAACAATTATCGAGTCATTTGAACCAAAAAATTTTTCGTCAAAAATAACATGAAGGTTTAAAAATAGTCGCTACTACTGAATAAGGGAGTTGTAAAGTAACCCAAAGGGTGTTAGAGATAAAAACTTAGTCACTTCCGTTCCTTTGTTGAGACCACGTTCTACTAAGACTTTGGATGTTTCCCAATATTTTGGTGAACTTTTAATTTCCAGCAAAATCTATCGACAACTTAGAACAACTGTAGTCTTTGGGAAAGTATAAAACCGTTCATAAACCCAATAAATTCAAATTTCAAAGGTAGTACGAGTAGTTGATAATGTTCGATAGATTAACATAATTTGAGGAACGCAGGCGATTTACGCACTCACAAAGAGTTAGTACCGCTTTTCACACCTTTGTGAAAGAAAAGGATGTAATTAAATTCGCGAGATGTTCAAGAAAGAAAAACTTGGGACCAGATTGTGAAACGAATTCGTTAGAAAAGATAAGCTCCACGAAAATGAATGATTTCTCAAATCGATCAGACATAAATTTCATCCCCATCTGTCAGTTCTACCCCTTTCACGATCGTGCTTAGGGTAAACATATGGTTTAGCCGCTCAGTTGCGCCTTCCCTCAATAAGAAACAATTTCTTTATCCTAAAAGTACGTGGTGTTCATACGGAGAACCTAAGGAACTCAAGATCGACATCTACTTGAGAACTAATGAACACATGCGGCGAAAAACGAAAGAGCTCGTCTGACTGAAAAGAAGGGTTAATTACACATAGAAGACCACGAAACTTGCCAAGGTTTATAATTACACAGTGATGGTTAAAATGAAAACTTCTCTACTTTGTACCTCAGATTTAAGACAGCGGAAAAGATGAGAGAGGTTCTAAATTGACCGTTCATATAATCTTTAGTTATCATATCATTTCTCACGAAAAAAAAGAGGAATTAGTCAATGATATTCTATATAGTAAATCGCACTGCTTAAAAATTGTGCTCACATGCCAAACCGATTAGGGGTGAAGAACATTCGCCCTCTTGCTTGTTGCATCATTTAAGTTGTCCCAAAAATTCATATTTGCGGTCTACAATATTAGTTTCGAACGTTAGTTTAGGAAGTAGTTGAAGGGGAAGCACACGATTGAAGGACTTGGACCCTTTGCAAAGTAAACAACGAGGCGCCACAACGCGTTTTAGTACAAAGATGAAGACAAATCGTGTTCGGGCAGAGGAAGAGAAGTTCGAATAACCGAAATATATTTCCCTAAAACTACATGAATTAATTAATAAGCTGAGAGGGTAAAAAACCCAAAAGAAATTGAAACATGCTTAATTTTGTTCCAAGCTTGACAAAACGACGACAGTCTTGTCAGTACGTAAATAGCTGAACATCGTACCTGAAATGGCGGCGAGCTGTATAATTGCCAAAAGGCACGCTTTACATCTGTACTGTAGCATAACCATTCGCCTGATGCTGTAAACAGAATTAGACAAAAGAAAAGCACGTTCAAGGTTCTTGCGCTGCACACCAAGTTATTTCACCGCATCTTCCAAGCTCGGTAATTAATCAACTGCTTGGGACAAATACGGTTGCTCATAGACGTCATCGGGTTATTTGTACTACGCGCCAATCAGATCGCTGTATATTGTGCCCCCACTGTCCACTTCATAGTTTCAGCTGTTTACAAAGAAACCTCGCTCCATGCGAGGAATTTTGCGTATCTGTTTCCAATCCTAGACAAATTTCTGCCTGGTTTTAAATTCCGCCTTAGATATTCAATGCCGTGCAATATCACAAGTTAATTAAACGCGAATTTGGCTTAAGACTTGCCCGGTGCATGCCAAAGAGATCCAAATTTGCGAATAAGTGTTTGCGCTTTGCCCCGTTCTCGAGCAGTGAACGAGACTACACAAGAACTATAGAAGAAAACAATTAACTCATTGTACTTCAAAAATACAAAAGCGATGCTGCTTAAGGCTTGAAATCTTTAAACAGGCGTAAATGTTTCATTGCAAGGAACTAGCTTTTGCTGCCCTAAAAAGTTAGTGAACAGCGGATCGTTAGCGAACTTCAAAATTTCTCTATTAGAAAGCCAATACGGGTTTAAAACACTACAAACAAATTAGACAAGATACGGTTGTTAGATTGTGTTTGGCTTTTAATTTTAAGGCGCCGTGCAAGTTTTTTGCTATTATTTATATTGGAGTCACTTTGCACTTTCGACGTGTCAAGAGACGAACGTAGAATAAACAGCGTTAATGAACAACTCCTCAACAAAAAACAACAAGGTTATAATGAGACTTCAGTTCGGCGCAATTCAAGAGAGGTTCAGCTCAGCGCTACTTCTTTCAGGTATACCGATATCGGTTAATCTTTGAAGAGGTTTTGAAATATTCGAAAAGTTTCCAAATCATCGATTGAAAATAAGTCTGACAAACTTTTGCATGAACCAAAGACAGCACGTTTAACAGTTTAACTTCCCAGAACAGATAACATGTTACTCGTATTTGACATGTTTTAAAGTTAAAGGTTATCCGTAGAATCTTCTCTAATAAACTCATGAAACATTAAACCGGTTAAAAGGCTGTCTCTGTTGTTAGTTTGATTTCAGGGACGTGACAAGCATCGAGCACCAAATGTCCGGTGATTCGAGATGGAGCTTCCTAGATTTCTCAAGTGGTGCCAATTCTCATGTAAATTATTACAAATCTCGGAAATTTTGATTGTTGCGATAGAAGTTCGGTTGACAATGCAAAATAATTGCATGCCCTTCAAAAGGCAATAGGCCGTTAAGTTGGTTGAGAAAAAGATGATTTAAAATGCAGGTTTTACTTCCTACCCAAAAGCAACTGCAGTAGTATGGATTCATTCCTCGGAAACATTTTGTAGTCCTCTCTTTCTTGGTTCTCATGTTTCACTTCAGTATTTTCAGTTTCCTCCCATCATCATATCTCTATTTTCGGAAAGCCCTTGTAAGGAAACTCGTCAATAGTCTCATGCAAGCATGACTGCAATCACGAACAAAAAGAACTTCCGCTGCGCCCAGAAGTTCCTGAATAAAACTAGATTTTTTTTAAATGGGTGTAGAAAATAAGTTCTTAGCAACTCCTCGAAGATTTACGGGTTTTTGTAAATTGTGTCTGTTGGTAACAAGCGGTAAACTTCCTAATATACCATGACAGATTTTAACTACAGAAATCTGAAACTCTACAGCTAGATGGATGCTAAAATTTCCGGAGGAGAGTAACATTTACCCTTTGGGGTCAGAAAAACACCAGTGAAACACACACTCCGTCAGGCCTCGCACTGTTGTTTAAATATCAATTTTCCGCACTGCCAGTCTCATTTTTCTTTATATTTCAGTTTGAAGAATTTGGTGTTAAATCCAAAAATATCCTCCCTTCGATAATTTTTTTTTTCTACGTTTCGGCTTGAAATGATAGATACCGTAAGGTGGTATTCCTTCCCTTTGTTTTCTTACTGTGGCTATTATTTCTCTTAGCTTTGTTGATTTCGAGATTTCCTTCGAATTTTTTTTAAGCTCGTGAACATTGACGCATTAAAAAGAAAGCTTCAGTAATGTGTAGCCATCTTACAACAGGGCCTAAAGTCAGGGGACCATTGATGCAATTTCCAGTAACATGCATCCAATGAAAACCGGCAAGAATGTTTTAATTTTCTCCCGGAACTGCGGATGAGATCGATCAGCAACTTTGTTCATCGGCAATGTTGACAGCAGCATGAATGCATATACAAGATAACTGATAACTGAATCGGCAATTTTGACCATTATTTACGATTTAATGGCCTGTTAAGAGTAATTAATTTGACAGTCCGTCTCAGCTGCATGAGACTATCAGGCATCGGCGCCGGCACATATGGAAAGACTTTGCATGGCTGTTAGTGTAAATAACATGCTTCGTCCGAGCCTGAAGATTCAGATTTCAGGTGCCGCGACTAACGACTGTAACAGTGATAACCAAATGAACTGGAAAAAAAATTAATTTTGAGGTAATATGATGCTTCTAATCGCAATTTTATTGAAAATAAAGAGGTATGTAAAGCGGTCGGAGATCCATCAGAAGTCAAATAGACTTTACTATGATTTCTTTCAATTTTCTGTCAAAAAGTTGCCCCTCTCGATAATGATTTCCAGAAAAAATGACGATATCAATTTTAATAAAATAACGTAAAAGAGGCAAAACTACATCAAGAAGCGAGTGATTTTAAGGCCGAAGGGAACTTTTGATTTCTTCATGCCCTAGATGATACATTACAATTAAAATTGATTGATGTTCAAAGTTCACTCGGCTAGAACTAGGTTGGTGGAACAAGTGGAACTACTGGGAATGGGGTGGGTGGGGTAGAGGGGAAAGGTTCGCATCGACTGCACTTATGCCCGCAAGCCGCGGTCGCACGAGGATGTTGAATGTTTCTTGGGATTGCTATCGACAAGATATTCAGATTTCTGTTCTGGTAGTATTCAGTTTAAGATATGCTCAGCAAATGAGGTTTGAAACCCTTATGTCCTTCAGCTTTTGCGATTGCAGTGGCAGTTACGCTTGGCAGAGGTAATAGTCGCACGAGGTAGAAGGTTAATTCCTTAACCCACCTGCGTGGAAAAAATTTTTATAAGTGATAAATCCTTCACAAATATTCGCAAGGTCTTTCCATATGTGAAGTAGTTTTTATAAAATTTGAGAGGCGTTATTTCGCAATTTCTTTGATAGTAACATTACTTAAAATTAAAAATTATCCATACTTTCTGGCTTTGGAACCCTCAGAAACGAGCGTTTTGATCATAAATTCCGTTTGGTTCCCACGTTGACACACCGTAGCATCCTGATTAATACTGATTTTCATAAGTGCATTAGATTAAAAAAAAAGAAAGCCGCTGTAAACGCTTGCAGGCTATTACGTTTAGCACAATTAGATTTATTTGAGAGTCAGCAGGGTTTGCTTTGAATCCGGAAACGATAACCGTAGTTGCAGAGACAACATTATATCACCTCATGATGTACTAATGACAATCGGTGAAATCTCGTCTCGACGTAAACCGGAAAATTAAGGTCATTCTGTGGTCTTCATAAAATCAAACTGTACTTTTTCCTTTTTCTGTTTGTTTCCACTCGGATTTGTTGCTAAGCATTTTCGTGCAGGGTAATTAAAGGTGTGATACATATTGTTCTAGTGTTTTCTTGTTCGTATGTAGTTAGTTTACCCACGCGGTGTTCAGGTTTGAAGATCACGCCTTTGTTATTCCTTTCAATTGTCTCTGTAAACTTTATCCCGTCACTTTTCAATCAGTCATACCGGGATACACTGGTTTGGTATTGAAATCTTCCATGGTATCAGAAGTTATATCCATTTCCTTCTGTATTTTCACTAACGATTCTGATGAAATGTTTTCGTCTACACCCTCTGCACTTAAAATAACTTCAATGATTCGACACTAAGTTATCCCTATTAGTGGTGTGTCGGCAAATTCCACGCGTCTAAGTCAAGGAAATATTTAATTGAACGGCGTATTCTGCGGTTACGGTAAAAACCAATTAAAAAAAATTAACGGAATTCAATTTAGAGGATTCAAGAATTCAAATAAGACAGCTTCGTTTGACAATAATAAAACGTTTCCTTTGCTTTAGTATTAGTCGACTTGAACCTTTGCGGGGGTTAGCGACTCTTTTTAACTTCAATATCTATTTTGTTTAATCTGTTTTATTGGCAGGCGTTGTGAAGACTATTTAAGAGACACGCGACGATGTTGTGCCCTTCGAACCCCGAGAATTTTCAGACTTTCTTTTTCTGTAATGACCAGACTTAATCTACACTTAACCTGTACAGATTCATTCATAACTCAACACCTTATCCAAAGCACCAAAATAAGATGCATTTGATCTTTTACTATTTGAGTATTTGTTTTAATAACGGTCGCAAGGAACGCGGCTTATGACATTTGTAGACTGCAGTCTGTAAACTGACAGACACTAAAACAACCTCGTTTTCAGGAAGAGAACACCGAAGGTGACGTCATCAAAGTTGTCACCCCATAACCTTAACCTGGCCCCTAAGGAAGTGGGGAAAATATTAAACCTTAGATACGCTCTGACGAAGGGTTGACGCTTGAAACATCAGCTTAGAAACTATTTACGGTGGCTAATCCACATTATCAACTCAGTTGATGAAATCAAATTATTTTGTTATACCCACACCCACGAAGTACCACAATTTTTTTTAGAAACTTATTTGGTAACGAGGGTGACATTACCTCGGCCTCGTTCGCAAGATTCTGTTAGCTGTTCTTAACATGATCGCCTGGACCATCGAGATGGCGCAAGATTCCAAGTAGGATTCTTTTTTCCTCTTCACAAGTTAAAGTTGTTTGATAATAACATATGGCTAACCAATACCTCTTTAGGCTACTTCTCATTATCGAACAAGAATTATATAATAAGTTCAGTTATGCACGCATTCTGATTGGTTCTCACTTATGATCTATTGGAGGACAGACGTATAGATGACGTCATCATTAAAACTTTTTTTAAATTCTTTGTTATATAAAACAAATAG